GGGATCAAACTCCCAGGCCCTGCACCTGCTTGCAGGTGCTTTAATCCGCTGAGCTATTTGGCTGGCCCCTGAATTCATCTTCTACTCCACGTTGCTCGTCTATCACCTGCTTATCTTTCTGTCTCCTGTCTAGAAGGAAATCCACAAGACCCACCTGGCTCATTCCTCCCCCACCCCATGAATAAGGGAGATATCTGTAGTGATTAGTAAGCATGATTATCCCATTTACTAGGATGATTTCTTCATTATGAATTATAGATCTTGAGCTGGGGATACAGCTCAGTCGCATAAGTGTCTGCTTTGCAAGCACAAGATCCTGAGATCAATTCCCAGTACCGGAAAAAAAAATTATAGATCTATGTCAATCAAGTATATTAGTTTCTTATCAGTATGTTTTGGTGAGTTAGTTCCTGGAATCTGAGGTCCCCATGGACTTGAACCTGGAATTGAATTATGAGGGGACCTCAGATTCCAGAACTAACTCACTCTTCAAGCCTCCAGAGTTTTGGTAAAGATCCAGGACATGGGGACACACCAAGATATGGCATCTACAGGGGAGGTAACCAAGGTGGTGTAGTTAATCAGGAACGAGAAGCAGCAGAGTGTAAAGTCTTCGCTTCGCTGGCTGCCCTTCTCTTATACGAGCTCCAATCTTAACTTCTGCCAGCTTCTGCCTTTGTGACCTTGGATAAATGAGGTCAAAGTTTTCTTTGTAAAATTTCCCTTGTGCCATAAAAGCAGTGTTTTAACAGTAAGCAGAACACAGGAAGAACTGCCTGCCCCATGCCCTAGGCTGCCCTCTCCTCGCACGACAGAAGCCCACCGGTCCATGCCTGTCTGCCAGGCTCTGACTCCTGCAGGGCATGCCCAGTGCTGGCCTAGACAGGGGTGCTGTGCTCATGCACGCCTCATGGCGTTTTGAGGAAATCAGGGCTAGGGATGGGGGATTCCTTGTCTAGGTGCAGCGGTGGAAGCACGGCTTCCTGGGGTGCCCAGCTCCACACGAGCCTGCACTGCCCAGTGGGCGAAGGTGGGCAAGACGTTTCCTGCCTCGGTGCCGAAGCATCCT